TTCCATGCCTGCCCCAGGGTCCGGGGTGCTTTGGGACTGGGCGACAGGGAGGGCTCTATTGGGGTCCCTAGAAACCGTGTCCCGTCCCCAACTACATTCCCTTGGCCCTTCTGAGTGAATAAAGTATTCTATCCTCACCTCACCGGTGCCAGTAAGTGAGGTGGGTGGGAAGGGGAAGAACACTAGGAATAATGGAACCAAGGGGGCTATAAAATAGCCTAAGGGATTCCTGGGATTGGGAAAATCACACACCTGGCCTTTGGCCTCAATCTCAGTTCTTAAAAGAACCACGAACAGGACGTCTACATGACCCCCTTTGGGGGTCAGTATGGCAAATGGGGAACAATGGGGCTATATAGATTTAAGATTTTATGTTAGGTACATTAGCTTTCCCCTAATTTATTTAGGATCTCCGTATTTAACCCCAAGTGAACCCAGTATGCACTATATACACCAGGCTGGTCTTGAACTTTGGGGGATTCTTTCTGCCTCCTGAATCCTGAGATTACAAAAATTACACTACCGCACCTAGCTCCAAACCTCATTTTATCTTTACTTTTGCAGACAGCTAGTAAATGGCACAGCAAGGACAAGGGAATTGGCAATCACAGTCAGGTTTCGCCAGAACTGTGATGGGAGCAAGAAGGCAGTGACTTCTCCGGGATGTATGTGGGTGTGTACATATTTTTAAGAGTCTTGTAGAGGCTCTAGATTTCCATTCCAAGCATCCATAACTCCAGTTCTAGGGGATCCAAAACCCTCTTCTGACATCCACGGGCACCAGGCACTGACATGGAACACATACGCAGTCAAAACATTCATACATATTAAAAAATTACTTTTGGTTTGTAGCCCAAACTGTCCTCAAACTTGGGTCCTTCTGTCTCAGCGTCTTTAATGCTGGGATTACAGGTATGCGATTAATAACTTTGAATTTGTATTATGGGAGTGGCAGAGGGTACTGTCCATGGGGTCCGTGTGGGTCAGAGGACAACTTGCAGAAGTTTTCGTCCTGCATCATGTAGATCTCTGGAGTGGAATTACGAGTCTCTGGATTGGTGCTCGCTTGAGTGCAGGTGCCAACTAAATCCCAGAAGAGGGAGTAAGATTTGAAGCTAGAGTTACAGGCATTTGTAGGCTGCCTGATGTGGGTGCTGTGAACACAGTGCTAGGAATGGTGGCAACAAGCCTTTAATTTCAGCACTTGGGAGGGCAGAGGCAGCAGCAAGTACCTGGGTACACAGCAAGTTCCAGACCAGCCAATGATAAAATGAGACCTAGTCTCATCAAACAACAACAGAAAAACGAGCAGCAAGCGTGCTAACTGCAGAGCAATTTCTCCAACCCTATGTCATTTTTTTTCCTCCGTGTGTACACATTTCCCATAATATTTTTACTGATTATTTGGAAATTTCACACTTCCCATTCCTCCCAGGTCTACCCTCCCAACCTTGTTCCCTCCCCACAAAAAGAAAAAGAAAAAAAAAACAAAAACAAAACCATCAAGTCCAATTTGTATTGCCTATATATTCATTGGAACATGGTCAAACTTCCAATGGCCAGCCCTTAAAGCTAATTGACTCTTTCCCCACCACCTCCAGAAGCCAACTATTAAGAGCCACACTCCAGCATCCCTATCAGAAGTCATGTTTTAAGACCTGTCACAATGGTGGCACACTTTAATACCAGCACTTGGGAGGCAGAGGCAGGTGGATCTGAGTTCAGGCCAGCCTGGACTACATAATGAGTACCAGGACAGCCAGGGCTACACAGAGCCTTTTTTAAAAATCTTGAGAAAAAAAAAAAATGTGTCTAGAAGGTAAAGAAACAAATTAGAAGCTTGAAGATCCAGAGACAAGACTACAGATTTGATTACATACAAGGAATAAAAGAGAGGGAGTAAAACCAAATGTTATAATATCCAGTGGTTTGGGGAACCCACCCCAAAGCTGTTTTAATCTGAGGAGTTGCTTTATCTGGGAAGGCAAGAAGGGTCATTAGGGGCAGACAATCACTACCACTGCTTTCTCTGAGTTAACCCTCTTCTCAGGAGGCAAGCCTAGGTGTCTTAGGGAAAGTGGTTAGTCTTAGGCTACACACCACATAAATCATTCAACACCATCTAGCTGGAGAGGAAGAACAGGATTAGCCAGGTGGTGGGTGACCTTTACTGGTACCAAGGGACCAAAGAGGAAAGGAAGCTTCTATACTCCTCAGAGACTTGTGGGCAGAGCACTGCTTCTCTATAGGACTTGAGATATATAGTCTATCTAGCTACCCAAGAAAAATCTAGACATTGTTGCCTTTAATCATTTTATTGAGAGAGAAGACACCAGTAGACTACCTTTTGGAGAATCTTGGGCCTCATACCCATGACTTAGTAAGACCAGACTAGAGCAAGTCCATCTCTGCTGTTCAGAACCATGTTTCTAGGTGGAAGCCTGGTTTTTCAACTCAGAGGTAGGGTCTACAGCCTCCACAGCCTGATTTTCAGAGATGGTCCCATGGGGCAAGTCTGTGTACTTGCGGGCGGAACCTCGGGAGAGATGAACTGGGTAACGTTGTCGGTTGGTGTCCATTTTGGAGAGTACTGCTTGAGGTAAGTCCACATGACAACGGGCTGCTAATGCTACCAGGTAGATGAGGACGTCACTAAGCTCCTCTTGAAGAGCTGCTCTTTCCTTTGGTGGCCAGGCTTGAGGACTAGACTCTGCATCAGACTTCCATTGACTGGAAAGAGAACAGGACAGACACACAAGCTTGGTATTTCAGTGGGCCCCCCTTCAGTCTATCAATTATCACACTTGAAGCTCAGAATATCCCTCCAAGGACAATCTAGCTGCCTGGGCTCTGGATGGAGCCAGGTGTGGAAGAGACTTAGCAGGCAACAGCCAGACCCCTGTGATCCCACCCAAGCCAAGGACTGACCAAGACAACACTGTTAAGACACTTGGAGGTTCAGGTCTCCTTTTCTCTAGCCCTACCTAGCTGCTGCCATTCCAAACCAAACCCCAGACCTACATCAGTACAGAAGTTGAATTCATCTTCCTGTTAACTTACCTTCACCCACTAATTTCCTGCCCAAAGCTACTACCACCTTTTCTGTTTGCAGTCACTCTTCTTTCTTGAACACCGTCTGCCACAACCCTAGATTTTCCCGTTCTTGATACTTAGGTCTCTTAGAAGTTACCATCTCAGAAACTTACTTTTTCATCTCTCCTCCCTTCTACTCCTAAGGCAGGGTCTTAGGTAGCTGAGGATGAACACCTGATCATTTGGCCTCTTCCTCTCAAGCTGGGATTTCACCTCACACCACCACATCTGACTTTCCCCCCCATCTTAACCCTTATCACAGTTCCAGATCATTTAAAATTAGCTCATGTATTATCAGTCACCTTCCACTAGGACCAGAGACAGCCCCATCTTCTGGATCCAGATGACCGAACACACAGCTGATGCTAATTCATATGTTTAAAAAAAGGCGTGGCCTGGGACTGGAGAAATGGCTCAGTGGTTAAAAGCACTGGCTGCCCTTCCAGATGATGGTCCTGAGTTCAATTCCCAGCAACCACACAGTGACTCACTGACCTCTTCTGGCCTGCAGGCATACATGCAGGCAGAACACTGTATAAATAAACTTTTGCTGGGTGGTGCTGGCGCATACCTTTAGTCCCAGAACTGGTGGAGGTGGGGGTAGAGGCAGGCAGATCTCTCGGAGTTCGAGGCCAGCTTGGTCTACAGAGTGAGTTCCAGGACAGCCAAAGCTATAGAGAAACCCTGTTTCGACCAAAAAAAAAAAAAAAGGGAACAGCCCTCCTCCCACCTCTCCCCCCCCCAACATCTTATGTGCCCTCTTCATCTCCACAGTGGTGCCCAGATTTAGGTCTACACCATTCTGCTCACTAGTCTACTCTACTCCATTGTCTCGGACGTCCAATCTGCCCTGCCGGCACAGAGATCTCTCTGAGACTCGGATTAGATCAGGCCTTCTGTTTGAACTCCATCACCTTCTAGCTCCAACCTTACCTGCCTGGGTTTGCCTCCCAACCTTGACTTCCAGCATCCCATTCTTCTACAAAATACCTGTAACGGGCCAGACACTTGGGCACACCAGAAAACAAAAACATACAAAATCCCTCAAATTGAATTGGGTTCTCCCAGAATTTAACTCGTCCTTTCTTGCCTCACTACTTTTTTTAAAGTATTTATTTATTGTATGTTTTGTGTGCACAATCTATGTGCAGGAGCCTCCAAGGCCAGAAGAGAGTGTCAGATCTCCTGAATCTGAAGTTATGGGCATTATGGCCTACAATGGGGGTTCTGGGAACTGAACTCAGCCCTTCCGCAGGAGTAGGAAGTGCTCTTAAGCACTGAGAAATCTCAGCGGCCCCCTCACTACCTTTGTAAGTGGAAGTTCCCTGCCTGGCAGGCCACTGGGCAGGTCATATTTTGAAATTCCTTATTTTCAGCTCCACACAGAGGTAAAATGCTGGTGACAACTGTCCTTCTTGAACCTAGATCTGCCTCACTGTTTCTGTACTTTCTCTCCCCTGAAACTAGGCTCCCTACAGGGCTGGGACCCATCTGTTATCTCTATATCCCCAGCAGCAGCACATAATACAGCAGTAAGGAAAATAAAACACCCACCACAGTGTTTGAGGCTCAAATACATGCTTCCCTCCCCAAACCACCCGAACCACAGCCTCTTCCAGGAAGCCTGCCATCTACTCACAAGAGTTCTGCCAGCTCGCCCACTTCTCCCACCAAGGCTAGGAGCAGGTTCCGAGGCTGGTGGAACTGCTCCCAGTCCCGCTCGGCAGCAAACTCTGCATGGAGGCGTCGACTGGAAAGAAAGAAAAAAAAGAAAGAAAGGGGTGGAGGTTCAAGTCACAGGGTTAGAGAGTAAGGGACAAGATGCAGGGCCCGGATCAGGTCATACATAAGTGGGGCAAAGATAGAAATCCCATAGTCTATATCTAGGATGACATTAAGTTACTACCTCTTAACAAGGCTTGCTCTTATCAGCTAGAAATGAACGCGCCCCTGTATAGATTTTAACCTCAAGCTAAATTTTGCAACACTCTATTACTCCCCCCGCCCCGACACTCGGCTACTTCTGCCGATCCTCTACTTCAACTCCCCTGTCTTCACAGGCTTAAATCCAGCTCATCACCGGATGCGGTTTTGAGACAACGTCCCCTTCTTTGATACTCTGCAAGAAATAACATCTCTCTACACTTCAGCCTCCCCGGTTTTCCTACCACCCCCCACTCCTGGGCAGCAGAGACACTATCAGACTTCCGTTATCTTCCCAAAGTTGGTTGGTACTAACATGCCCGGGGGCGTCACCCATTTCCCTCGGCTTCAGGTGCGCATCCTGCAGAGGAGATTTTAGTTAGGCCCGCCAGAGGCCCGCCGGGAGGACCCGACGGACACGAGCATGTTGTTGTTCTTGTGGCCCACGTGCCCACGTGGAGGGGACCTCCCCACCACCACAAAAGGGTCAATCTCTCCACCAGAGGCTGGACAAGGGCTTGCTTACATGTCCTCAAGCGTTGAAGCTGAATCGGCCGCCGGCAGCAGCAGCGTCTTCTTGCCCCGCATCACCGCGGGAACCGCCGCCAGCTTGGGACATCCCGCCCACCTGTCCCAGCCGCGCGGGAGCGTGCAAACCCCGCGCCACACTCGGAGTCGCCGCCAGGGTCCCGACCAATCACAGCGTCTTGGTGCGTTCCCGGGGCGGAGCCGGAGGACGACCCACTCATATAGGTGGATTTTGCTGCGGTCCACCCCTTGTCCGGCCTGGACCAATCTGAGGGAGCTTCGAGTGTGTTTTCTCCGCCTGTCCCCTCGAGTTCTTCCTCCCGGGAGAAACTTCTTAAAGGGAAAGGCACCAGTTCAATCTGGGAAAGAGACTAAATCAGAAAGCCTAATGCGACGTTGTTTGCTTAATGGGCGCCAGATGGCACCAGAGTGAAATGGCAGGCGCGGAGGAGGCGTGTCCGCGGCAGGCAAAACCCTACAGTTGAAGGACCCAGCGCATGCACTGTCGCTTGGTTGGGGACACTGCTTAAGGCTCCACAGCAGCCTTCCCACAATTTGAATGAGGTTGACGAGAAATAGTGCAGACTGCTAGACACAGGAGGACCCGGGCAGTGCGTCCCATTTCAGCGTCCTGCCCCAGCGGATTCCAATGATTGTAAGCAATTAGCCCATCCTTGTCCTACAGGGAGAGGAAGGCATTCCTCCTCTTTACCTGCAGCGTAGAACACAGGACACTGAAATTTGTGGCAGGTAGCTAGGGTCTGGCCTCCTCTTACCTTCCCAGCTCCGTGGGTCACTATCACAGCCTTACACAATACACAAGAGGACACCAGACTCGCTTACATTAGTGAGTTTATGAAGGCTTTTCAAAGACTTATTTTTATTTGTTTTGTGTGTGTGTGATTTGGCTGCATGCATGTCTGTGAACCACTTGGGTTAGCAGGGGTGTGGTGACTGTAACAAAGCCCCAGACCTTAGTAGGCCCCAGACCATAGCACGACTGACTCCACGGTGGAACTACCATTCAGGCTGTAAAACTCAGCATATAGACAGCACCACCTGACAAAATTAAAACAATGACCTAATCCATCAAATCTATAATTCTGGGAAAGTCTAAAGTCTAAATCTTGCTTTTTGACTTTGTAGTTCGGCTTCTGGCTAACCGCTCTTGTTAACTGAGTATGTCAACACAGGATATGTGTTTTTGTGTTTAAAAGCTCACCCTGAGAAAGACTGGGAGCTACACTGGGATCCTGAACACCCAGTGTAGTCACTTGATGGCTAATAAAGACTTTCTATTGGCTTAAACCCATGCCTGAGCAGTCCTTTCTGGTAAATACCCCAGAACAGTGACTCACACTTGGAATCTCACAATTGCGGGAAGCATGTGAGTTTGAGCCTGGGTTAGATAGTGAGATTTTGTCTTAAAATTTTTTGTTTTAAAAGCCCAGGATGCTTCCACCTCTACACAATATTTAGTTGAGTGGCATAGCCAAAACACTTGTTTTTAAAAATTGCAGAAAAGGCCAGGTGTTGGTGGCACATGTCTTTTAATCCCAGTACTCGGGAGGCAGAGGCAGGTGGATCCCTGTGAGTTCAAGGCCAGCTTGGTCTACAGATCAAGTTCAAGGATAGGCTCCAAAACAATACAGAGAAACCCTGTCTCGAAAAACAAACAAACAGCAACAACAGAAAAACCAAATTGCAGAGTTTACCTTTACCATTCTGGTTCTGGAAGGTAATAAAGACCTTTGTTAGTCAAGCTATTTTTAGTTGAGTTTTCTATTTTTTTTCTTTTTAGAAATATTTATTTAGTGTGTATAGGTGTTTTGCCTGGTCCCCAGGAAGGACAGAAGAGGATGTCTGATCCCCCTGGGACTAGAGTAACAGTGAACTGCCATGTGGGTACTGGGGATCAAATCCATGGCCTTGGAAGAGAAGCCAGTACTTTTTTTTTTTTCTCCTGTATTTTGAGGCAGGGTTTCTCTGTGTAACAGTCTTATCTATCCTGGAACTTGCTCTGTAGACCACACTGGCCTCAAACTCACAGAGATTCACCTGCTTCTGCCTCTAGAGTGCTGGGATTAAAGGCGTGCACCACCACTGCCTGGCTACTGCCAGTACTCTTAATATTTGAACAATCTCTCCAGCCTTCTACTTTTTTCTTAGAAAGTGACATTCAAGCTGAGCAACAGATCAAGGACAATGGAGCACTAGCTAGAAGGAACCGCCAATTCATAAAGATGAAAACATAACATATTCTCAGATGAAAAGAACTTCAGGGGCCAGAGGATGTAGCCGGTGGTAACTTGTGTATTTAGCATTCATAATAGGCTATTCTCACTTCCAAAGTATGCAGGAGCTAATGAGAACACAATCAAGTGTGAAGTATGTGATCTCAGTACTTGGGAGGCAGAGGCAGGTGGATCTCTGAGTTTGAGGCCAGCCTGGTTTACATATGAATTCCAGGGTCAGCCAGGCCTACATAGTGAGACATGTTTCAAAATTAGAACAAAAACAAAACTGCAGCTCTTCTCTGGAGCCTACTTGGAGAGCCCCTCGAAGAGACATTGTGCGTGTGCCTCAGGTTTGGAAGAGCAACAGATGAAAGCTTCCAGAGGGGAGCTCAGGGGGTCTTTGGAGGTTGGTGAGGAGACTCTGTGGTCACTTCTGCACTCTCCCCAGGAGACCCTGCTTGTGGGCAGTGGGCATCTGGAGGTCAGAGGACAACTTTGTGGTGTTGGTTCTTGCTACTGTGGGTCCCAGGGATTAAACTTGGTTTGATAGGCTTGTGTGGCAAGGGCCTTTCCATGATGAGCCACTGTGTAAAGCATCTGGCAGAAACATCCAAGGTCTTTTGTCCACAGTAGCATCCTCTGAAGAGAAGGTCAGTCCTAAAGGCAGGGAATGGATATGAGTGTTCACATGGCCCCACTAGCTGTTCTCTTATTCCCAGCCCTTCCCTCCTCACCCCATGTCCAGTCAGTTTTCTCCAATCTCCTTAGACATACGTTGGCACTCCAACCTGCCTGCTTTAATCAGGGCCTCAATGTATTTGGTGTTGTCTTTCAGTTCACACTTGTCAATAGCCCTTTATAGACCTAACCTCCCAAGAAACCGGATCTTTTCAAACCAAGGCCGACTCTCTAGCACAAGCCAATAAATATTTTACAGGATGTAGGGTTTGGGTAAGGCAAGTATGTACATGCCTGCATTCTCTAGGACTTGGGTCAGGCAAGCATTTACATGTCTGCATTCTCTAGGGCTTGGGCCAGGCAAGCATGTACATTGCCTGTATTCTCTCTGCTGTTCTCAAAAGAGCTTGTCTACCTTCCCCAGTGTGGCTCTTTGGGAAACTGGAATGGAGGAGGTGATGGCTGCTTGAGAACAAAGTGGTGGAGACTTATGGCTAGGCAGGTTATATAACAGCAGAAAGACTTGTCCTGATCGATGAGATAGAGACAATAGGGTATGATGGGACACTAGGAGCTGAGTGCTTGGGAACCCACTGCCAGTGCCTTTGGGATCTTTGCTAATCTTAGCCTGAGTTTCCCTATTCAGATAACAGAGATCTGGCCTCCGTGGCCTTCATATGTATGATGGATAGAATAGGACAATATGTATCCATGGCTACATCCTTAGCGCCCACTACAGTATTACCCTTGTTACATTTTTTCTAGAGGACCAAAGATGGAGACTTTGGAAATCTCTAGCTTAGCCCTTTCAGGCCACAGGGACTTCAACACTCCTAGAGGACTGCAGTTCTAGCCCTGTCCCCCTTCACACAAGCTGAAATCCAGTCAGAAGGTCCCACGCCTTCCCTGCCTGCCTTTATAAGTTCCTCCATCTAGATGCCTCCCCGCTTCTCCACACACCCAAACCCAACCCGCCCCTCCCGCACAGCCCTGCTTCAAAGCCTCCACTCTCAAAGGCTCTTGGTAAACTTGGAGCAGGGTAATGTTGCTAGATCTCACTGAGACATCTTTCCCCACATAGCCTAGATCTGACACATCCTAGGCTCACTTTGCTGGAGGCACACAAGCCCTTTATCCAGGAGCTGGTGTCCTTTGGACCCTACATTTCATTCTGACATATCTTGTCTGTTGTGGAAGTCGGAGAGGTCTTCCTTGCAGGACACCATGCAACTTGTCTCTTCTTCCACCCATCATTCCTCATGCAGGGGAACAAGTTCAGGAGGAAATCAGAAGGCTTTAGATTCTGGTTGGGAAGGAGATGGAAGGGTGGCAGTTACTGCTCCATCCAGGGCTAGGAATGGCTCTGCTCTGTAGCTACCCCTTTCATTGCTACACCTTGGAGAAGAGACTGATGTTTCCAGTGGGCTCTGGAGATGAACAAGTGAGACCTTGTGAGTGACGTGTGTCCCATCCACGCTACCATTGCTTCTCTGAAACCATATTTTCAGGCAAGCTTCTATCTGCCATGATAACTTAACTACAGGGGTGTTCCATCATGCTTAACTTGGCTACATCTAAGTTACACCTATGAGACTGAGGCCCAAAGAGGCTAGGAGACTGGTTGAGGCTGAGGTAAAGCAGTACGAATGCTGCCACTCTGGCTGGGAGGAGAGGAGGGAGCGAACCTGTCTCCAGGCTGTCTAGCATTTTCTCTGTTCTGTCCTTTCTCCTGTAAGCCCCATCCTCTGCTCTCCCTGTACCCTTCTTCCTTCTCCTCTGTCACCTGCTTGCTTAAAAAAATGTTTATGAGGGGCTGGAGAGATGGCTCAGTGGTTGAGAGCAACTCTTCCAAAGGTCCTGAGTTCAATTCCCAGCAACCATATGGTGACTCACAACCATCTGTAATGAGATCTGGCGCCCTCTTCAGGCCTGCAGGGATATATGCAGTACAGAACACTGTACATAATACATAAATAAATCTTTAAAAAATGTTTATGAGTGTTTGCCTGCATGTCTGTGCACCACATGTGAGCCTGGTGCCCACAGAGCCAGAAAAAAAAGTGGAAAATCCCTTGGAAATGGAGTTATAGACAGTTATAAGCTACCATGTGGGTGCTGGGAATTGAACCCAGGACCTCTGGAAGAGCAGCCAGTGCTCCTAACCACTGACCCATCTCTCCAACCTCCCTTGCTTACTCTTAGATTCTCATTTCCATCCATGACACTGTTATCACATTTAGTCAGCCTG